AGTTCCTCTGTGAAGATGGGAGAACTTTCCAGAAGGACAACCATCTCTGCAGCACTCCACAATCAGGCCTTTATGGTAGAGTGGCCAGACGGAAGCCACTCCTCAGTAAAAGGCACATGACAACCGGCTTGGAGTTTGCCAAAAGGCATCTAAAGGACTCTTAGACCATGAGAAACAAGATTCTCTGGTCTGATGAAACCAAGATGGAACTCTTTGGCCTGAATGCCAACCATCATGTCTGGAGGAAACCTGGCACCATCCCTACGGTGAAGCATGGTGGTGGCAGCATCATGCTGTGGGGATGTTTTTCAGCGGCAGGGACTGGGAGACTAGTCAGGATCGAGGGAAAGATGAATGAAGCAAAGTACAAAGAGATCCTTGATGAAAACCTGCTCCAGAGCGCTCAGGACCTCAGACTGGGGCGAAGGTTCACCTTCCAACAGGACAACGACCCTAAGCACACAGGCAAGACAACGCAGGAGTGGCTTCGGGACAGACTCTGAATGTCCTCGAGAGGCCCAGCCAGAGCCCGGACTTGAACCCGATCAAACATCTCTGGAGAGACCTGAAAATAGTTGTGCAGCGACGCTCCCCATCCAACCTCACAGAGCTTGAGAGGATCTCCGGAGAAGAATGGGAGAAACTCCTCAAATACAGGTGTGCCAAGCTTGTAGCGTCATACCCAAGAAGACTCGAGGCTGTAATCGCTGCCCAAGGTGCTTCAACAAAGTACTGAGTAAAGGGTCTGAATACTTATGTAAATGTCATTTAAGTTTTTTATTTTTAATAAATGTGCAAACATTTCTAAAAACCAGTTTTTGCTTTGTCATTATGGGGTATCGTTTGTAGCTTGATGAAGGGGAAAAAAACAATTTAATCAACTTTTGAATAAGGCTGTAACGTAACAAAATGTTGAAAAAGTCAAGGGGTCTGAATACTTTCCAAATGCACTGAACATTCAAAATGTGATACGAACAACTTACATCTGTCTGTTACAAATTGGTATAGGTATTATCTCTCTAAATCAAACAGACAAGGTGTGACCTTGTCTCAAATACAAGAAGAAATGTTGCAATTTACCCCACCTTCCAGGTGAAATGTAACAGTTTGAAAAAATGCAAGTGTGTGAGAGTTTGAGAGAGAGAGAGTGGTGTGTGTGAGCGGTGTATGTGTGAGCGATTAACCCTCCATTAACTGCCTTTCTCAACTAAACAACAACATCTGAACTAAACAATTGAATGTCTGTGGTGTGTGTGTGTGAGAGTTTGAGAGAGACAGAGTGGTGTGTGTGTGTGTGTGTGTGGTGTGTGTGTCAGTGGCGGTCAGTGCGGTGTATGATGAGGGAGGATGCTTTTTTTGTCATGAGCATGGCTTTATTTCTATTACAGCATGTTGGATGACTGTCATTTATATTCCATTCACCCAGTTCAATGTAACATTGATAGGTTTAGGCTACTACATGATACTCACATTTTTCCTATACCCATTGTCGTGGAAATTCTTACACAGGGACACTCAAAGTCAATCTTACCTTTATAGTCAGCGCACTGGAGAGGTTCCAACAAACTTAATGCACCATAGTGAACGTCTGTCAGAAGCTCTGCTCGGTCAGTCCCAGCAGTTGTCTTATATTCAGCTATATACAGGCAAGTTATATTTGCATGATTTAGCATCATTAATTAATCATTACCTTTTTGTTTCATTCATGTGACCGACCAATACCGGTTCATAACATGTGACAGACCAATACCTCACGAGGCTTCTTCTCTCTAAGCTGAGACCTTGAAACTGAGATATCTTTCGTTCTCAAAACAAGGTCTGGGCGTACTGACAAATTGCAAATACTGATAAGTGAGGATTTGTTCAATCAGTCACTTGCATGAACACAGAAATTGGTTATTAGAACAGCACATGAATAGAACACAGAAATTAGTTATAAGAAAAGCACAAGTATAACATTTCCATCACACCATTATGAGGTTGCTACAACCTAGCCTATGAATGACAGTTTACAACGTAGGTGCACACAGGTTGAGAGAAAAATTGGAGATGACAGAAAGTGACACATTCAATACCGCCTTGAACACTCTTGCCTGCATCTAGCTTATCTAGGGTGTAATCATTAGTCCAACAGTTGCAAACGAGAGTTTCTATTGAACAAATTCAGGTATTTTCATCTCCGTTTCGTTTGATTCCGTTTAAGAAACATTTTTCAACAGAATCGGTGGAATAAATACACCCCTGATCATGCATAAACACAGTTCACATTCATAGCAGCCATGTTGTATTCCTTCTCACCTCTATGCACTCTCCTCCTCTCACCTTCAATGAACAACACATCAGCTGTATGTGACCAGGAGAAAAAACCTTTCCAAGCCAAACCATATCATAACCGCTACACACAGCCTACATCGTTGTCTCCATATTAGCTAAAGTAACGTCCTAGTCAGCATAGCTAATAGAACTAATGCGTTAGTAAACCCGCTACAATCATGCAGTAACGTTACAGTGTGTAGTCAGTAAGCAGTTACACCGGCTGGCCCCGGTGGCAATACATTTATAAAACCAAAAGCTTACCTTGACTTGGAAGAGTTCCAGTGTTGTGTTGGATAGTCATAGCCAGCTACCTAAGATAGCATCCCTCTGTTTGAGCCGGGTGTTTGAGTAACTAAACTAGCCAGCTGTATTTGCTAGCTAAGTAAGTGAAACTGAAAGTGAAACAAATTTACAATCTCTCGCTCTTGCTTCTCCTTCATTTTTGAAGAAATGAATTTGGTCAGCTATTGTCTTTCTCTCTCTTTGAGTCAACCACTCACCACATTTTATTCACTGCAGTGCTAGCTAGCTGTAGCTTATGCTTTCAGTACTAGATTCACTCTCTGATCCTTTGACTGGGTGGACAACATGTCAGTTCATGCTGCAAGAGCTCTGATAGGTTGGAGGACGTCCTCCGGAAGTTGTCAAAATTACTGTGTAAGTCTATGGAAGTGGGTGAGAACCAAGAGCCTCCTAGGTTTTGTATTCAAGTCAATGTATCAAGAGGAGGACGGAAGCTAGCTGTATTGTTGGATAATGTGATATAAAAATGTTTGCTAATCTGGTGCTGCGCAATGTGAAGAGTGGAAATGTGAAGAGTGGAAATGGGACAGTACCGGGAACCCAGTTACCCATGTTAATCCCGCTTCACTGTGGGGATGGTGTTCTCGGGGTGATGAGAGGTGTTGGGTATGCGCCAGACATAGCGTTTTCCTTGATGGCCAAAAAGCTCAATTTTAGTCTCATCTGACCAAAGTACCTTCTTCCATATGTTTGGGGAGTCTCCCACATGCCTTTTGGCTTATTTTTTTCTTTAAACAATGGCTTTTTTTCTGGCTACTCTTCCATAAAGCCCAGCTCTGTGGAGTGTACGGCTTAAAGTGGTCCTATGGACAGATACTCCAATCTCCACTGTGGAGCTTTGCAGCTCCTTCAGGGTTATCTTTGGCCTCTTTGTTGGCTCTCTGATTAATGCCCTCCTTGCCTGGTCTGTGAGTTTTGGTGGGCGGCCCTCTCTTGGCAGGTTTGTTGTAGTGCCATAGTCTTTCAATTTTTTTATAATGGATTTAATGGTACTCCGTGGGATGTTCAAAGTTTCTGGATATTTTTTACAAACCAACCCAACCCCTGTACTTCTCCACAACTTTGTCCCTGACCTGTTTGAAGCACTCCTTGGTCTTTATGGTGCCGCTTGCTTAGTGGTGTTGCAGACTCTGGGGCCTTTCAGAACAGGTGTATATATACTGAGATCATGTGACACTTAGATTGCACACAGGTGGACTTTATTTAACTAATTATGTGACTTCTGAAGGTAATTGGTTGCACCAGATCTTTTTATTTAGGGGCTTCATAGCAAAGGGGGTGAATACATATGCACGCAACACTTTTCCGTTATTTTTTTCATTTCACTTCACCAATTTGGACTATTTTGTGTATGTCCTTTACATGAAATCCAAATAAAAATCAATTTAACATTACAGGTTGTAATGCAACAAAATAGGAAAAACGCCAAGGGGGATGAATACTTTTGCAAGGCACTGTATCTGTACACAATTCCTGGAAGCTGAAAATGTCCCAGATCTTCCACGGCCTGTATACTCACCAGACATGTCACCCATTGAGCATGTTCAGGATGCTCTGGATCGACGTGTACGACAGTGTGTTCCAGTTCCCGCCAATATCCAGCAACTTCGCACAGCCATTGAAGAGGAGTGGGACAACATTCCACAATCAACAGCCTGATCAACTCAACAGGCAAATGGTGGTCACACCAGATACTGACTGGTTTACTGATCCACACACCTACCTAAAAAGGTATCTGTGACCAACAGATGCATATTTGTATGCCCAGTCATGTGAACTCCATAGATTAGGGCCTAATGAATTTACATCAATTGATCAATTTCCTTAAATGAACTGTAACTCAGTAAACATTTTGAAATGTGTTCAATGTAGTTTGTAGGCCAAACCGTTTGGACGCTAAAGAAGTTTTCATGAGAAGACCCATTTTCGGGATGTCTCATGGTCTGACAAACACCACCGTAGCTTGGCCACCTTCCACCGCAGATGTGGAAGGCCGACATAAACGGATGTGGGAGATTGAGACAGCCCATGCAAAAAAACATCTCTAGTTTAAATTGATGGATTTAGCTGGGGATTTTTTTATTATTATGTTACTTAGATTGACACACAGGTGCATCAATAGATGGGGCGGCAGGTAGCTTAGTGGTTAAGAGCGTTGTGCCAGTAACCAAAAGGTCGCTGGTTCTAATCCCCGAGCCGACTAGGTGAAAAATCTGTCAATGTGCCCTTGAGCAAGGCACTTAAACCTAATTGCTCATGTAAGTCGCTCTGGATAAGAGCGTCTGCTGAATGACTAAAATGTAAATGTAATAGACTTAAGAGTTGTAATATTAATCTGTTAGCTATAATTTAATTGATAAACAAAGGAAACAACAAAGTCCCACGAAAAATCAGACAGATTATTTATTACTTACAGAAACATGGAACAAAACAAAGCAAAAGGAAAATTTTTATTTCTGTTCGTGTACATGGATTTGTTAATGTGCATACTCACAAATCTTAAACTGTGAGTGAGAATGAGTTTTCTTCCTGTTTCTGTGTGTGATTTTATGGTATAGACAAGTGGCCTTTGAGACACTTCTAGCATTTGCTACCTTTGAAAGCAGTAAACTGGTTGGATTAGAACTGAACGCTCACTGGTATCCAAGTGTGTGTCACAACTGTTAACATAAAATACAGACAAGCAAATGAAAATTTGCAGTGCTTGTGACCTCTTCATCTCTTCTTTCACGTACTCTCTCTCTGTGTCGCTCAAAAGAACAGTCCTCTCATCCTCCGGCCGATGCCCTGTCTATCGTACAAGACGTTGAACTTGTTGATGAACTGGTTCATGCTGTTGCAGGTCTTAGTGATGGTACCTAGGTAAGCCATGAGGCCCACATCATTGCATTGCTGAGGATAGAAAGAAGGTGATTCATATGCTTTTACAGTACTTTGCCAATCCAACCCGTCTAAGCTTGCTCAAATAATTAAACTACCCTTATTGAGTGATTTAAAGGAGGATATTCGACAAACTTATATTAATTCACAAAAATGTATGTTCTTTAACCTGACAACTTTGCAGACTATCACATTACTAAGGCTATAATCTAAAAACAAAAGCACACCTATGTTCACACCAGGAGCTGAGTTTTGCCAAGTGCCTAAGTGGGGACAACTTACATCGTAGAAGTCAGTCTTGAATTTGATGGTGCTGAGAACAGGCAGTCTATGGCACAAGGCGTTGGCTTCTCTGAGGATCTCGTGGTTAAATGGCACCTCTCCTGGGTCGTACCAAATCAGAAGGGGAGAGTGTGTTAACAAAAGAGAGCATGAGGGAAGAAATATACACAGATAAGAAAGTTGTTGGGATATACAGTGCATTCGGAAAGTATTCACACCCATTGACTTTTTCCACATTTTGTTACGTTACAGACTTATTCTAAAATTCATCAAATTGTTATTTTCCCTCATCATTCTACACACATACCCCATAATGACAAAGCAAAAACAGGTTATACATTTTTGCAAATTTGTTAAAAATAAAAAAACGGAAATATTACATTTACATAAGTATTCAGACCCTTTACTCAAGTACTTTGTTGAAGCACCTTTGGCAGCGATTACAGCCTCGAGTCTTCTTCGGTATGACGCTACAAGCTTGGCACACCTGTATTTGGGGAGTTTCTCCCATTCCTCTCTGCAGATCCTCTCAAGCTCTGTCAGCTTGGATGGGGAGTGTTGCTGCACAACTATTTTCAGGTCTCTCCAGAGATGTTTGATCGGGTTCAAGTCTGGGCTCTGGCTGGGCCTCTCAGAGACTTGTCCCGAAGCCACTCCTGCGTTGTCTTGGCTGTGTGCTTAGTGTCGTTGTCCTGTTGGAAGGTGAACCTTCGCCCCAGTCTGAGGTCCTGAGCGCTCTGGAGCAGGTTTTCATCAAGGATCTCTCTGTACTTTGCTCCGTTCATCTTTGCCTCGATACTGACTAGTCTCCCAGTCCCTGCCGCTGAAAATCATCCCCACAGCATGATGCTGCCACCACCACCGTGCTTCACCGTAGGGATGGTGCCAGGTTTTCTCCAGACGTGACGCTTGGCATTCAGGCCAAAGAGTTCAATCTTGGTTTCATCAGACCAGATAATCTTGTTTCTCATGGTCTGAGAGTCTTTAGGTGCCTTTTGGGAAACTCCAAGCAGGCTGTCATGTGCCTTTTACTGAGGAGTGGCTTCCGTCTGGCCACACTACCATAAAGGCCTGATTGGTGGAGTACTGCAGAGATGGTTGTCCTTCTGGAAGGTTCTCCCATCTCAACAGAGGAACTCTAGAGCTCTTGAGTTCTTGGTCACCTCCCTGACCAAGAACCCTGACTCAGTGACGTGTGGGTTTTCAAGCATGAACTGCTCGTTTCAAGTCCTGCCACAACATCTCAATTGGGATTAGGTCTGGACCCCAAACCATCACACCACCACCACCATGCTTGACCTTTGGTATGATGTTCTTACTGTGGAATGCAGAGTTTGGTTTTCGCCAGGCATTACTGGAACCATGTCGTCCAAAAAGTTATACTTTTGAATCATCTGTCCATAGAACGTTCTTCTAAGAGTCTTGATGATCATCCAGGTGCTTTTTGGCAAACTTGAGTCAACTTTTTGGACGAGATGGGTCCCATTATGCCTGGCGAAAACCAAACACTGCATTCCACAGTAAGAACATCATACCAAAGGTCAAGCATGGTGGTGGTGGTGTGATGGTTTGGGGATGCTTTGCTGCCTCAGGACCTGGACGACTTGCCTTAATAGAAGGAACCATTAATTCTGCTCTGTATCAGAGAATTCTACAGGAGAATGTCAAACCATCCGTCTGTGAGCCGAAGCTGAAGTGCAGCTGGGTCATGCAGCAAGACAATGATCCAAAACACACAATCAAGTCTACATGAAAATAGCTAAAAAGCAACAAATTGGAAGTTTTGGAATGGCCTAGTCAAAGTCCAGACCTAATCCCAATTGAGATGTTGTGGCAGGACAGTTCTTGCTTGAAAACCCAAATGTCACTGAGTTAAAGCAGTTCTGCATGGAAGAGTGGGCCAAAATTCCTCCACAGCGACGTGAGAGACTGATCAACAACTACAGGAAGCATTTGGTTGGAGTCATTGCAGCTAAAGGTGGCACAACCAGTTATTGAGTGTAAGGGGGCAATTACTTTTTCACACAGGGGAATTGGGTGTTGCATAACTTTGTTTATGAAATAAATATGTAATTGTTGTGTTATTTGTTCACTTATGTTCCCTTTATCTAATATCAGGTTTTGGTTGAAGATCTGATAACATTCAGTATCACAAATATGCAAAAGTAAAGAAAATTAGAAAGGGGGCAAATACTTTTTCATAGCACTGTATGTAAATATGGTATCTGTTTTTTATTTGTAATACATTTGCTAAAAATTCTAAACCTGTTTTCGCTTTGTCATTATGTGGTATTGTGTGTAGATTGCTTAGGATTTTTTTGTTTATTAAATCCATTTTAGAATAAGGCTGTAGCGTAACAAAATGTGGAAAAAGTCAAGGGATCTGAATACTTTCCGAAGGATGCTGAGAGACCATATTGGGTTTTTTAAAGAAAGGGCTGGAAAGAAAGGGAAGGTAATAAAAGCATATTCTTTCCAGACTCACTTGAATATTCATTCTATCTGTCTTTCATCCCTCATCACACAGAGACAGCGGTTCTCTCACCTGCTTCCACTGCTTTGACGTATTCCAGGATGACTTTAACCCTGCTGTGTAGCATCTTAATTGCACTGTGTTGGGCTATGAGATGTTCTGCCACTGAACAGAAGAGACACAGATAACAGGGAGAAAGTGTTTATGAGTGGCAGATAGTTAGCTGGGGATGCGTTTTAAGATGGTGGACCTTGTAGACGGGGGGGTATAGGCAGCCGTAACTATAGTTACCTGTTGAATTCTCCCCCGTGCCTGTGGCTGTCATGCGAGCCACGTGGTCCACTCCGATTCGTTCCGCCTCTTCTGTGGCCAGAGTGTACCCCAGCTCAGCAAACAACATGGTCGCCTGGGATTGGGCAAGATAGGACAGCCAAGCTTACAAATCAGCCACTCGTACTAATCACAGTGATGTGTGTGTGTGTGGTGGGAGAGCTTGAGTTACCTCTCCGTTGATGATGTCGATGACAGACTCGTACACATTGACAGGGAGCTGGGAGAGACAGGACATATGTTTGAATTACCATATGTACTATATCACAGTCAAGTAACTGTCTTACATCAAAGTAAGTAACAATTTCATTTAAAGATGGATTCCGTATTAGGGGAAACAGTGCCACTGTCCGCCCCAGCACCTTTGTTATTGGTTTTGTGGACAGAATGGAGGTGAGGTGCATCGAGCAGTGTGTAAAAAAAAAAATACAGTACATATTCTGCTGCTCTATCACGCATGCAATGTTGTCAGAGGGAAAAAAACAGTGTTTGTTTTTTGCAGTAACTTTTTTGTTGTAATATCCCAAACCGACAGTTTCACCATTAAGATTCCAGCTTTAAGAATATTGTTTTCTACATTAACCCATAAGAGTCTAAGCCCTGTCTAAGCCAGGGGAGGGAGGGGGGGGGGGGTTCTACTAAGCTATATGATCATACCAAGGATAATTTTGCTATTTGATTTTGAATTTTAAGACCCCTTAAAGTAAAACATTTTTATAAAAAAATTGTTTGATGAAAATGTTTATTTGGCCTTACTGCTATTAGCCCATACAAACATATTGAATAACAGATTCAATATATGGAACAACAGATAGTCCCCCCCAAAAAATCTAAAGGAAGTTGGTTCTGAAGTGCCTATCCTATTTCTGAGAGATATAGGAAAGATCAGGAAACCTTTTTTGTATTTAACCCCTTATTTTTGTCACTAAACAGTCTCCATATACTTTCATAAATGTTTTCAACTGGTACCAAGGGACCTTCAGACAAGTCTTGTGAGGCCTGTGGGTGTCCTAGAGGGGTCATAATAGTGTGTAGCCCAAACTGTTCAAACGCTACAGACAGAAGTTAGCAGATCGGCTGGTACCGACTTCAGACGAGTCCCAAGACGCTTTTAAGGGTCATAGAGCAAAACGGAGAACATCGTGTTCGTGAGTCTCATCTTTCCATAGAGGGGTCATAATAGTTTGTAGGCCAAACCGTTAGCACGCTACATATGATTTTGTGAGAAGACCGATTTTCGGGATGTCTCATGGTCTGACAAACACTGCTCTAGCTCTGTCACCTTTCACTGCAAACGCGGAAGTGTTACATAGGTGGATGTGGTGGATTGAGAACCATTCAATGCAAAAAAACATACTGTATATCCAGTGGGTTTTGGGGGCGAGGAGTCAAGGGAGTGCAATTGAGATTCTCCCTTAGCCTCTATTGGTTGACCTAGCTAGCTATAGCTAGGCTACTCATGATGTATTGCTTGTTTGTTTTTTTGCTTTAGAATTGTTTTATGTTATGAAAAGCGCTATAGAAGTTTAATAAATTTTTATTATTAAATATAAACAATTCCAAATGAGAAACTCACATCTGTGTGTTTGGTCATTGGGTTGAGCTTGAGGAAGAGAGGACTCTCAATGATCTCACACACCTGAAGTGAAGAGAGAAGAAAGGCCAATAAGGAAACCGCATACTGTTGGCCAAACAACCTCAACTGACATTTACATATGATCTTTCAAATCACAACAATTCACTGACCAATTAGAGTAAAAGTTAATTTTATCATGCCTCTAATTTCTCCCAAATGGAACATGCCCAACCTCATGGAAAAGTAAATGTAGTCCCCTTTGCTCTGCCTACCTGCTTGTGAATGTGGATGTCTGATTGGTCACAAGGACCACCTGTGGTATACCAGCCGAGGAATTCCATGTCCTTGAAAACCTGTTTGACTGAGAGACAGGTCAAGAGGTCAGGTGCCATATGAATCAAGCAGAGTAGGAACGCTGATCTGGGATCAGGTCCCCTACTAAGGTCATCTTATTAATTGTGATCTAAAAAGGCAAAACTTATCATAGACCAGAACTCCTAATGAGGTTTAGTTCCACTTATCACACCAAGGGCTTCAAGCACAAGCCTACTATGACATTTTTCGCTTCAGAGATGGTGTGGAAACCATGACACGGCACAGCACAACATACATCATCATCATCACTTTTCATATTGCACTTTCACCACCATCAGTAATCAAGGGGAGTAAATGCCATCTGACCTTTTCTTTGCAAGGTAGGTTAGTGAAATGAACACACACACAGTGGATTTATGACGAGACTCACATTGCTCCTCCTTGGTGTAGTAGTACTCCTTGTCAATGTGTGCTCGGTCATCTACCAATTGATGAAGCAGCTCAAAGGAGTTCATCACCTCAATGTTTCTACCCTCCTGCTTCCCGATCAGGGCGCCAATCACTGGGTGAGAAGGAAAAGATGAAATGCAACATAAGACAGCTGATTGGAATGGATACACATATAGGCTATAGCAAAGGCCATTGAAACTTTCATTAACTGTAACCTAGGGCTGTGACGGCCATGGAATTTTGGATAATGGTAATTGGCCAGCCAAATGACTGCGGTCTCCGTAATAACTGTTAGAATAGGAGCAGTTTTTTTGGACACATTTTCTCCTCTCCTCCTGACTGCATGTGCTGCCATAGAAATAGAAGGAATAGAATGGTGCTCGTTTCAGCAAGGAGCAAAGAAGCTTCATCGCGTTGTTAAGAGTCATGTTACAGCCGAAACGGACCTGAATGCACAAATGCCCGGTGGTCCCATCTTCAGTGATCTGTTCGTCCCACACAACAAAAGGGGTATTTAAATAACCATCTTCATCCATAACCGTCGGTTACTCGGTTATATGGTAATTGTAGCAGCACTTCTGTAACCTCTCCCATGTAAGATTCCCTTCCCACTGTTGATGTGTTTGTTCTCTTGCAGTTTCTTAACTACACTGAACAAAAATATAAAAACGCAACATGTAGAGTGTTGGTCCCATGATTCATGAGCTGAAATAAAAGATCTCCGAAATGTTCCATACCCACAAAAAGCTTATTTCTCAAAAAAAATGTGCACACATTTGTTGACTTTCCTGTTAGTGAGCATTTCTCATTCCCAAGATAATCCATCCATCTGACAGGTGTGGCATATCAGGAAGCAGATTAAACAGCATGATCATTACAAAGGTGCACCTTGTGCTGAGGACAATAAAAGGCCACGAAAATATGCAGTTGTCAAACAACACAATGCCACAGATGTCCCATGTTTTGAGGGAGCGTGCAATTGGCATGCTGACTGCAGGAATGTCCACCAGAGCTATTGCCAGATAATGTAATGCTCATTTCTCTCCCATAAGTTGTTTTTAGAGAATTTGGCAGTACGTCCAACCGGCCTCACAACCACAGACCACGTGTAACCCCGCCAGCCCAGGTCCTCCACATCCGTATTCTTCACCTGTGGGATTGTCTGAGACCAGCCACCCGGACAGCTAAGGAAACTGTTGGGTTGCACAACTGAAGAATTTCTGCACAAACTGTCAAAAACTGTCTTTGAGAAACTAATATGCGTGCTCGTCATACTCAGCAGGGTCTTCACCTGACTGCAGTTCGGCGTCGTAACCGACTTCAGTGGGAAAATGTTCACCTTCGATGGCCACTGGCACACTGGAGAAGTGTGCGCTTCACGGATGAATCCTGGTTTCAACTGTACCGGGCAGATCCTCGTGTGGGAGAGCGGTTTGCTGACGTCAATGTTGTGAACAGAGTGCGCCATGGTGGCGGCGGGGTTATGGTATGGGCAGGCATAAGCTACCGACAACTAACAAAATTGCATTTTGAATGCACAAGAGATACCGTGACGAGATCCTGAGGCCCATTGTCGTGCCATTCATCCGCCGCCATCACCTCATGTTTCAGCATGATAATGCACAGCCCCATGTCGCAAAGATCTGTACACAATTCCTGGAAGCTGAAGATGTCCCAGTTCTTCCATGGCCTGCATACTCACCAGACGTCACCCATTGAGCATGTTCAGGATGCTCTGGATCGACGTGTACGACAGCGTATTCCAGTTCCCGCCAATATCCATCAACTTTGCACAGCCATTGAAGAGGAGTGGGACAACATTCCACAGGCCACAATCAACAGCCTGATCAACTCTATGTGAAGGAGATGTGTCGCACTGCATGAGGCAAATGGTGGTCACACCAGATGCAGACTGGTTTCCTGATCCACGCCCCTACTATTTTTTTTTGGTATCTGTGACTAACAGATGCATATCTGTATTCCCAGTCATGTGAAATCCATAGATTAGGGCCTAATTAATTAATTTCAATTGACTGATTTTCTTATATGAACTTTAACTCAGTAAAATCTTTGAAATTGTGGCATGTTGCGTTTATATTTTTAACTATCGTCTTAACTTTTTTCCAAAGTATTTCAACAATATACTGAACCAATTTCAATCTCTCTCATCCCCATCCCATTGTCCATTATTCCATGCCAAATGCAAGACTGTATAGAACTATTGGTATACTTGAAAACTTATCAGCTCACATACCCTGCATGGGCCGCCCCTCCTGGGAGCGGATGCGAATCCAGTGGTCTGAGATGTTGAGGATGACTAGAGGATGCAGGGCAACAGAGACACTCCCGGTGACCCCAGAGGCCATAACACTGGGGCTGGCTGTGGGACAAACAGAAAGAGGGTGGGTTTCCTTTACTGTTGGTCATCGCAGCCAAACATGGCCTAAGCACGACCACTTGCTTTTGAGCAAACAAAGCATCTGTGTTCTTGTCTTGAATATTGTTGTTTTCTTTAGATGGATGTTACAATATCAGTGTGCAGTTGAAGTGAGCTCAGCAGAGCTTTGATTTATCAGCAATGCTTTTCCAATTGACATGTTAAAAGATGTGATCATGAAGCTAGCTAATAACAGCTGAAACTAACTACTAGCTAGGTGTGGAGGACCAATTACTGCGCTGTAATTAAGCTAGCTAAGAAAGCAAAATAGTTAGCTAACTAGCTAGCAATTGATAAGCTAACATTATTTGTTTACATTGCCGATGTTTAGTTAGCTAACTACTATGGACGGACCAATCAATGTGTGACAGTTGAGGTCAACTATTACCTAGATAGTTAGCTAACAATCAAATATTAACTAAAATTGTTTTGAAATTGCAGAGTTAATAATTAGGGCTGGGAATGGCCAGATACCTCACGAAAAAATATTATCACGATACGATATGTATTGCGATTCTCACGATCCAAACATATTGCTGACCATACAGTATGTCTGCTGCAGAGGGACAAGAGAGAGCCATGATAAATACAATTTCTGAAAACAAATGGTCACCCTATTTAAAAAGATGGAAAACAAGCTACACTCTTAGTAAAAAGGTGAAATCAAGAACTTAAAAGGGTTCTTTGGCTGTCCCCATAAGTTAACCTTTTGAAGAACCCTTATCGGTTCCAGGTAGACTGCTTTTGGTTCCAGGTAAAAACCCTTTTGGTTCTAAGTAAAACCTTTTGGTTCAAGGTAAAACCCATTTTTGGTGCAAGGTAAAACCCTTTCCACAGAGGGCCCTACATAGATCCCAAAAAGGGTTCTACCTGAAACCAAAAAGGGTTCTACCTGGAACCAAAAAGGGTTCTACCTGGAACCAAAAAGGGTTTCTCCTATGGGGACAGCAGAATAACCTTTTACCTTTTTTTGGTACCTGTTTTGGTGCAGGTACTGCAAACTAGCGCAAAAATTATATTCCAATATTGTCAAAACATACGATATATCCTCCAAAATAATATCCCGATATGTAACTGTATCGATTTTTCCCCCCCATCACTACTAATAATACCGGTATACAGTACACACAAATACTGTACAGCCACGTTAGCTAGCTAGCTACGCTAACTAAAGTTAGCTAGCCTCGCTGAAGTAACGTTAGAGAACGCAAAGGCGAAATAATGGCAAGCTAAACATGAGCTAACACCATCGACAAAAGAGTATAGTTAGCACCAACACAATATATATACAACCTTGTCATAATCAGATAAATCCATTGTGCTTATGGATATTATTACCTGCCCCATCCACTTCCATTCCACCACCATTGCTCGTCGCCATCTTGTCCGACTGACAGCTGCGCAAGCGCAGTAGAACAATGCGTTTTTTCTCAAATGCTAAGGGGCGGTGTTTGTTTGCTGCATTTACACAGCAGTTTTGGTGATGCGTGTTTTGGAAATTCTGAAGTTGTTACGCTTATTTATTATTTCCCCTTTTTATATATATCTGGTAACGTTACTCTCACATAAAAGGTGTTCATTTCGCACATGGAGTTTTTAAGAACGTGTAGGAATGTTGTCGCTTTAGCAACCGTTTCTACGGGGTTCATTAATTGAATGCAACTTTGGTACGTCGGTGTATTTTGTCCGTGTACTCGACGGTACTTTTTGTTTACAAAATGGCAGATTGCAGAACTTCTACTCTCGATTATTTCCCAGAGAACATTTTAATTGATATTTTATCATATTTAGGTGTGCGTGAGCTCATCAGAACCGGAAGGTAAAACAAGTTAGCTAGCTGACGTCTGTGTTCAATATAAATATTCAAGATAGTTAGCTAGCTAGCTAACGTTAGCTTAAAAAACACTTATCTTTGTCATGTCATTCATGTGGTGTATTTGCAGGGTGTGTAAGAGATGGAGACGCCTTGTAAAAGATCAAAGACTATGGCGAGCTGTTGATCTAACTGCATGGAAAGGGGTAAGAATGGTTTCTATTGCATGATGACCTTACCATTTCATGACTTGACATGAAAAGGTTTCTGAGGCTGCTATGTCTGTCTAAAGACGTCAGCCATTTTGTGGGATGGCCATGTTTATCAGGTCCTACATACAATGATATTTCAGCAGACTTGATTCGATTATTGATAACTTTCCGTTTCAGAGGCCTCTCACCTTCTGCAACAAAATACAATGTCGATGCTTGCATTGTAGGCCTATTTCCTACCTGTTGACTAGCTAACTCTAAAGAATGTTCAAGTCATCACTCAAACACTGATGCATTGTTTCTTCCCCATCTCTCCTTCATTGGATGTTGTCATTCTACAACTGCTCTCCCTGCCCTTGGTGTCCATTTTGGGTCAGGTGACGTCGCGCATGCTGTGGGTACTACTGCGCCAGTATCTGGGCACTGGGCTCCGATGCCTGCGACTGCGTGGCTTGCTGCTCTCTGCTAGAGGCGGGGCCTTTCTCTCAGAGTCCTGGCTTAAGGCTTTGTCCTCCAGGTGCCCCCGTCTGCGCAGTCTTTCCCTGCTGCACGCAGACCTGAGAGGCTTGCGCAGTTGCCAGCTCCTGCCCACAACGCTGCAGGTCCTAGAGTTGCGTGGCTGTGAGCTACCACAGAGCTTTTTCACCCAGACCCCACCCAGTCCTGAGAAACAAGCTGGAGCGACATCAACTGCTTCTACTCAGCAACAGGGACGCGGTCAGTCTGGGAAAGTGCCTGCCTCAACGTCAGGGATTGCCATTGAGACGATGGTCCTTGATAACGTGCCCTCCTTCACAGACCTGCACCTGCAGAGTCTGGCGTCTTGGTTGAAGCTTAGCCGCCTAGAGCTCCGCAACGTCCTTCGGGTCACAGCGGAAGGCCTTAGGCGCAGTGCTGCCCAAGAAACCGACTCAGGCTTAAACGGGCTCTCCAGGCTCAAGTACCTGGAGATAGGGCACTTTGGGCGGCCTGGCGCCCAGCTGCAGATGGCCTCCCTGGGGCTGGGTGTGGGCTGGCTCGGCCTAGAGGAGCTAAGCCTTGGCGGTAAGGAGGTGGGGCCAGGCCTGCTGTCCGCCAGCCGCCTGAGGGACCTGAAGCGCCTGCGCCTCAGATGCTGCAAGCTGAGAGAGATGCAGGTGCTACGGAGCTGCAGAATGCTGCGGGAGCTGCGCAGGTTGGAGTTCTGTGAGGTGTTCTTCCAGGTTTGCCTAAAGACACCAGAGAGAGGGGGGGAGGGGGAGAGGCAGGGTGAGGAGGGGAAGGAGGATGGTGCAGACGGTGGTGATGGGAGCGATGATAAACTGGATGAGAATGACCCCGTGCCAAGTCTGCGCCGCTCACTTGCTGCTCTGCTGCCACAATGTACACTAGTGTTCACCAACTGCACCGTTACAATAACCTCAGACTAGATTACATACTACATAGTATGTTACACATCTGGTTCCCTTATTTACATTTACATAATTTAGCAGACACTCTTATCCAGAGCTTATTCTACTGTGGTAAAATACAAACATTCCTGTCAAAGCTATACTTAAAACATGTTTGCAAACTCTGATGCGTCACCTTTTCGTTGACATATGTAGAAAACAAACATACCCATTAACAACAAACCCAATCAAATTCTATTTTAAATTTTCATACAGCTGTGCTATTGAACAAAAAAGGGACAGTTAACAGTTACACAAACACGTGCAATGAACTGTCTCAAAGGAAATGTAATGTTTCAGTTCAACCCCTAGACCAGGGCTATTCAGCTCTTAAAGGCGCTGCATGGTCAATCTAATGTCTGCAGTGGCCGTATAGCATTTAGTGCAATAGGGCCTCTGCAGGCTTTGCAATTGCATGCCTCCGGAGGCTTCAATTGTGTCACACCATCCATACGGACCACATTTTCTGATCAAGCATAAATTGGCTTTTACCCTACGAGGTCCAGAGCCTGCTGGTTTTCTGTTGTACCTGATAATTAAGTGCACTCACCTGGTGTCCCAGGTCTAAATCAGTCCCTGAGTAGAGGGGAACAATGAAAAAATGCAGTGGAACTGGCTTCGAGGTCCAGAGTTGAGTTTGAGGTCCCTAGACAATGAGACGACACACCTGTTTCCTGTATTCCCATCCACAACGGAAAAGTGGTGGTTACACTTTTAGCCTAAATGTGTGGAAGGAGGTGGTTAAACCTCAAACTCAAAAGCTTTCTACCAAGGTTTCTAATGTACACCAGAGAAGCACTGCAGTGACCAGTAAACAATAACTTAAAGGTTTCATACTGGACTTAATCTTGTGTGTGTTTTGTTCCACATATTACCATTCTCTCTGCCATCTTTGGGAAAGGGACCAAGACAAACTGCCTTGAGAAGAGATTCAATGAATATATTGCAACTCTGGGGGGGGGTTCAGTTCAGTAGGCTGGAAGTAGCCCACTAGTTTTGCTAACTGGCCCCTTCAAGTCTAGGAAAAATAATCTGAGTTGTGTGATTCTCCAAAGCATTATGTTGTCTGTATTCATTAAGATATGAGAAAGTACAAATGGGAACTGTTTTAACCTTTTCCATCAAGAAACGAATGTGGTCATAAAATATTAGAAAGGAAAAACGGCACGATGTATTTTATGTATGTGGGAAATCATCTATGAATAATGTTTCAGTGCTGAACTCATATTTCTCTATATGCCTTGTAAATAATTCTGAACAAAATAAATAAAGGATATTGGGATACTGTGATATGTCTGATGGAAAGGCACTGTTCTTTCATGATAAAATAATGAACTGTACAAGTGAGTTCTACATACACAAGAAATTAAGAGATGAAGACCATTTAAAACATTTTTAATCCTCAAATATGTGACACGCAGCCATAAGAAAATAGCCTAACCATATAACAATGCAACAGATACAACTTTCAGTTCAACAATGAGAACAGTGAGACATTTGCTACTTTGTCATGTTTTCTAGTACAGGGATTTTAAACTAGTTCAAGATTGGATTGTCAGTTTCTAGAACTCTGGTCCTGACATCTGGGTCACAGGGTTTTGGACCAGGACCGAGTTCGGGAAACCCTGATCTAACACAGTTATCCAGGACGTAAGAGAGACAGAACAATGCAAGAGTGCTCTTTCCATTATAATGACTGACCAGGTGAATCCAGGTGAAAGCTATGATCCCTTATTGATGTCACTTGTTAAATACACTTCAATCAGTGTAGATGAAGGGGAGGAGACAGGTTAAAGAAGGACTTTTAAGCCTTGAGACATGGATTGTGTATGTGTGCCATTCAGAGGGTGAATAGGCAAGACAAAAGGTTTAAGTGCCTTTGAATGGGGTATGATAGTAGGTGCCAGGGGCATCGGTTTGTGTCAAGAACTGCAACGCACTGGGTTTTTCACGCTCAACAGTTTCCCATGTGTATCAAGAATGGTCCAAAGGACATCCAGCAAAATTGACACAACTGTGTGAAGCATCGGAGTCAACATGGGCCAGCATCCCCGTGGAACGCTTTCAAAACCTTGTAGAGCCATGCCCTGACGAATTGAGGCTGTTCTGAGGGCAAAAGTGGGTGCAACTCAATATTAGGAAGGTGCTCCTAATATTTTGTACACCCAGTGTATATGGCTCTGGTTAGCATAATTTGAATGAACATTCTACGTTATTACCATGGCAATCCAGCATCAGTGGATAGAAAATGCAAAAATACCATGGAAATTATTGCATCACAATACCAGGCAGCCATAGATGCAGTAACGAAGTCAATTGGGTGCATTCGTAAATTCGCTCTGGCTAACTACTCCAATTTCAGAGCACTCATCTGAGTGTGAGTGCAGAATAACTGATGAATTTATGAATGCTCAACACCCGTTGAATATGGCCGGTGTCAGTAAACGTTAAATTGTTGCCAGCAGCACAGTTAAAGTCACCAATGCTCTGAATAACATGAAAATAGCCTAATCAGCTCTGCTAAGGCATGTAAAATGGACAGAGTGAGGTGTTTTCTCATTTGTGTCTGGAAGTAGCTAGCAAGTTTGCCAGTTACAGTGGGGAGAACAAGTATTTGATACACTGCCGATTTTGCAGGTTTTCCTACTTACAAAGCATGTACAGGTCTGTATTTTTTATCATAGGTACACTTCAACTGTGAGAGACGGAATCTAAAACAAAAATCCAGAAAATCACATTGTATGATTTTTAAGTAATTAATTTGAATTTTATTGCATGACAAGTATTTGATACATCAGAAAAGCAGAACTTAATATTTGGTACAGAAACCTTTGTTTGCAATTACTGAGATCATACGTTTCCTGTAGGTCTTGACCAGGTTTGCACACAATGCAGCAGGGATTTTGGCCCACTCCTCCATACAGACCTTCTCCAGATCCTTCAGGTTTTGGGGCTGTCGCTGGGCAATACAGACTTTCAGCTCCCTCCAAAGATTTTCTATTGGGTTCAGGTCTGGAGACTGGCTAGGCCACTCCAGGACCTTGAGATGCTTCTTACGGAGCCACTCCTTAGTTGCCCTGGCTGTGTGTTTCGGGTCGTTGTCATGCTGGAAGACCCAGCCACGACCCATCTTCAATGCTCTTACTGAGGGAAGGAGGTTGTTGGCCAAGATCTCGCGATACATGGACCCATCCATCCTCCCCTCAATACGGTGCAGTCGTCCTGTCCCCTTTGCATAAAAGCATCCCCAAAGAATGATGTTTCCACCTCCATGCTTCACGGTTGGGATGGTGTTCTTGGGGTTGTACTAATCCTTCTTCTTCCTCCAAACACGGCGAGTGGAGTTTAGACCAAAAAGCTCTATTTTTGTCTCATCAGACCACATGACCTTCTCCCATTCCTCCTCTGGATCATCCAGATGGTCATTGGCAAACTTCAGACGGGCCTGGACATGCGCTGGCTTGAGCAGGGGGACCTTGCGTGCGCTGCAGGATTTTAATCCATGACGGCGTAGTGTGTTACTAACGGTTTTCTTTGAGACTGTGGTCCCAGCTCTCTTCAGGTCATTGACCAGGTCCTGCCGTGTAGTTCTGGGCTGATCCCCCACCTTCCTCATGATCATTGATACCCCACGAAGTGAGATCTTGCATGGAGCCCCAGACCGAGGGTGATTGACCGTCATCTTGAACTTCTTCCATTTTCTAATAATTGCGCCAACAGTTGTTGCCTTCTCACCAAGCTGCTTGCCTATTGTCCTGTAGCCCATCCCAGCCTTGTGCAGGTCTACAATTTTATCCCTGATGTCCTTACACAGCTCTCTGGTCTTGGCCATTGTGGAGAGGTTGGAGTCTGTTTGATT